TCATTAGAATAGCTTACAGGCTGGGGTCCAGCTTATCCAACAATGGCTGTCTAACAATGGAAGATCCAAGAATCCAGTAGCTGTTCAGTCCATAAGGCTGGATGTCTCAGCTGGTCTTCAGTGTACACCATAATCCCAAAGAAATAGTCCTAAGGCCAGTGAAGGAATGGATTTTCCAGCTAGAGTGAGGGCAAGCAGGCAAAGAGAGCAAGCTTCCTTCTTCTATATCCTTTATATACAGGCTGCCAGCAGATAGTGTGGCCCAGATTAAAGATAGATTTTCCTGCCTCAAAACATCAAGGTTAAAAATAGGTCTTCCCTCTTCCAAAGATTTAATGAAGAAATAAAACCCCTCACAGGTATGCCCAGTCATTTGAGTTTTAGTTAATTTCAGATGTAGTCAATCTGACAACCAAGAATAGCCACCACAATTTCTTTTCTTTCAGTTCCTGACAATTGTAGTGTGTGGCTTTTCAAGACAGAATTCCCATTCTCCCCTTATTTGTCCTTCCAAATCCTTCAGAGTTTTGATCACATCTGCTTATTTTGAGAGAGAGCTAGCAATTTTATTTTCTTCCCTTCCGAGAATGTGGTATCTCTCCACCCACTTGTATTATAAATCCTTGGTGGAATTTTTCGCCTTTTAAAAACTTAGGTTATTCTCTGTGAGTTCAAGGCCAGTCTGGTCTACATAGTGAGTTCCAGAACAGCCAAAGCTACACAGAGAGATCCTGTCTTAAACAACAACAACAAAATAATCTTAAAAAAAAAAAAAAACCAAAACAAGAAACCCAACCAACCCAAACAAACAAAATTTAGAAGCCAGTGGTGCACGCCTTTAATCCCAGTACTCAGGAGGCAGAGCCAGGCAGATCTCTGTGAGTTCCAGGCCAGCCTGGGCTACAGAGAGAGCTCCAGGACAGGCTCCAAAACTACACAGAGAAACCCTGTCTCGAAAAAAATCAAAAACAAAACCAAAACTTAGGTATCAAGTGTATTGCTGGACTGAGGAGATGGCTCAGGGGGTAGGAGCACTTGCTAGGCCAGCATCCGGACCTGAGTTTAAAACCCCAGAGCGCGTGTGAAACGCTGCGTGTGTTTGTAAACCCAGTATTTGAGTGGAGGGGACAGAGACAGGAGACTCCTGGGAACTCACTGATCAGCCAGCTTCAGGTCCAGTGAGAGACCCCGCCTTAAAAGAATAGGGAAGAGTAATAGAGAAAGACATCCAAGGTCAATATTTGGCTTCCGCATACATTCATACCGTATACTCCACATGTATCACACACAAGCATTCGTGTGCATATACCCCCCCCACTTATTAATAAAATAAAATAAAAACAATTCCAAGAAATGTTACATTGTAGTCACCTTCACAGTCACTGTGAAGGGAACTGTTTGCCTGAGGCTTTTCCAGCTTCATGGTACCAATGGTATATGCCAGAGCAACGGGGGTCAGTGTGACTGTTGCCTATCACTGCTACAGGCCAGCCTTCTGGGGAGATTAAGAAACTTCACGAGGAGGCCCCTGTGTGAGGAAGTGGTGGGGGTAGAGATCTGATCTTCCATCTCCAGAGTCACCGTACCCGCCTTTCTAAAGCCTTTTTACCAGATAGTCCAGAGTCACATGTCTAGCTCTGTGGATTAGTCCTGAGACCAGTGTGTGACAAGATGGTAACGGGAAGTGTGAGCGGCCTGCTCTGTCACCCAGGCCTGCAAACCTGCCTGGAACATCTGTCACAAAGTGAGACTCGGTTCCCAGGTAAGTGCCCCACAGCGAGTTGTCCAAATGTTCATTGATAACCAGGGCCAGCTGTGACAGCTGTCTGTGGTAGCATTTTTGTGGTAGTCTCAACCTAGATACAATCCAAACACCTCCCAATTCTGGAATTGAGAAACAAATTTTGGATCATACTAGAATATCACACAATGAGAATGACCTGGCTACTGATTCCCACCACATGAAAGATTCCCACAATCCTAGTGTTCAGGACCCAAACACATGCACAAAAGTCACATACCATGAGATTCATGTGTATGAAAAAAATTTAAATAATCTAGGCTCATAATGTGTCTGTTAATGCTCTCCTGTCTCTTGGTGAGGTACTTTGTTAAACCAGCCTTAGAAAATTCAGAAAGCCACACACAGCAATAGGAACACATCAGGATAATGCATCATTAGTGATTTTAATCTTGGAGTGGACTCCAGAGGGCGAACTTACTCAAGTTACAGTGGTGTCCTGTGACAGGTAGACCGAGACGAGATGAGTACCGTCTTATTTACCGACAGTTTTCCACGAAATACAGGCACTAGAAGTGGGCAGCTGCATCATTACAATCTCCTTTTGGGACAACTCTGAAAGATACCAGGGAAGGGAAATCTTCACAGAGGACAGAACTTCAGGCAGTGCACATGGTCATACATTTTGTTTGGGAAGAGAAAAGGCCAAATGTGTGATTGTTCACTGATTCATGGGCTGTAGCCAATGGATCGGCTGCATGGCCAGGGACTTGGAAAGAGCATGATTGGAAAATTGGTGAGAAAGACATCTGGGGGAAAAGTATGTAGATAGATCTGTAGCTAGAGTTTTCCTGTCTTGCCCACAGTCCGGACAAATCTTTGTC